ATGAAGATTTATCAAGGGATGAATTACTGGAAAGATGTTTAGGTGGCCACACGCAAAACGCAAATGAAAGCTTTAATTCCACAATTTGGCGATTAGTTCCTAAACATTTGCAGTCCGGACTAAAAGTCATCGAATTGGCATCGTACTTAGCCGCGGGCTTATTCAATGAAGGAAATTTATCTCTTCTGATGATCATAAACGAAGCAGGAATTGTAGTAGGCACGCAAAGCTTCAATTATGCCGAACAAATAGTTCTAAACAGAATCGACGTAGTTCATTGGAGTCGAAGAGAGGTCGGCAAGCTTGAAAAGCACTGCTGCAGGCGCAAAATGAAGCCTATGAGGATGAAAAAGGACTAATATATGGTGCTGAAATCACGGATTAATTGATGACTACTTTATATTATTGTTAACTTTTCAAAATTTCTAGTTTTCGAGATTTTATTTTCAAACGGGTGTTTCTCAAAATGACGTTTATCACATTTGCGGGAACTCTAACTCAAAAAGTAATGAACATCATTATGAAAATTGATAGTATGATTCTGTTATGAAATTACGAAATATATGAACCAACTTTTGAGATGATATTATTTTAAGAGTGTTTTTTTTGTATAATTAGTAAAAAGAAATGTGAAATTTTAAGTACATTTTTCCAACACCTGCAAATTTTTTAATTTTCGATACATTTACCTGCATTGAGGTTTATATTCTTAGAAAAAAAGTTATTAATCTAAAATGAAAAACTTTTTGATATCAGATGAAAATTGAAATGGCTACACATACCGCAATTGGAAAACTCTAGGTACGACGTCCAGCGGACATCAGAACAAAATTTGATAAAATTATTCAAAAAAATTCACAAAAGTTGTTCGAAATATAAACAAAATAATGTCAAAATTTGATTAAATTCTAATTAATTCTTCCCACCCAAAAAAAATCTTAAAAAATCAATGAAAATGAGCCTCCTAATGTGGTTCCCCTCCTTAAACAACTACCAGCAAATAATTAATCCTAGTCTATTTTAGGATTTTCACTCATTTTGAATCAGTGTTGAAAAATTGTCTATATCATAATATTAATGTTTATGTATGTACATGTAGTAAGTATTTTTTTATAGGATAATTTTTTAGATTTATTGCCCCATACATTTTACGATATCCATCGATGTTTATTGGCGTGAATAACCGTCGAGCCATAACGGTGCAGGTCGCAGTGCAACGAAATGCTGTTAAAAAGACTCAATTTTGCTGGCAGAAGACTAAAAACTGCTAACAGAAGACCAAATACTTCTGGAAGAAGACTAAGTACTGATGGTAAACATTAACTACTGTTGGCAGAAAACTAAATGCTGTTTGAGAACACCAAATACTGCTGACAAAAAACTAACTACTGTTGAAAATACTTAATACTGCTGGGAGCAGTATTGAAAACTACCGCAGAATCTTTTTAATGGAGATCAGGAATAAATATAACAATTGAAACGACAATTTAAACAATTCTCCTTTAAACAACTTCCAGCAAATAATTACTCCTAGTTTAGAAGTTTATAACTATTTTAGATTAAGTGTTTCGCTTTGTACTGCTGGAGATGATCAAAACCGAGTTGGAGGCAATAAAAGATTAAGATCTTACTTCGGTCTATTTTAGGATTTTCACTCATTTTGGATCAGTGTTGAAAAATTGTCTATATCATAATATTAATGTTTATGTATGTACGTATAGTAAGTATCTTTTTATAGGATAATTTTTTAGATTTGTTGCCCCATACATTTTACGATATCCATCGATGTTTATTGGCGTGAATAATCGTCGAAGCATAACGGTGCAGGTTGCAGTGTAACGAAATACTGTTAAAAAATCGAATTGTATGTTAATGTCCATTCTTTAACCAGTTAATAACTAAATTCCAAGGATTAAAGTATAATATTGCACTTTTACTGGTTTAATAATGTTAATATATTTAAAAAAATAATAGTTTCTATTTTACATGATTCACCCACTCCATGCGAGCATCATCAGAACTACAACAAATTTTTTACTTTGTCATTAGTTCAATCGGAATGAATATATTATTTGATTATAAAAATATAAAAGAATCAAAAACAAACATAAATAAACACTTACATTGAAATTTATAAGTAAAAATTCAAATATTTTTGTTACAAACTATTATAAAAACCATTGATTCTGCGTTATGTGGTAGCTGTAAACTTCTTTGATTCACATACACAATAAGAAATTAAGTTGTATTAAAACAAATTAAAAAAAACATTAACAAAGTACGTCTTATTAAAAGGAGATTTTAAGTCGAAATGTGTTTTGAGAACCAGAAATGTGTTTTTCAAAAACGTGTTTCTTATATTACAAGATCTAAAAATAACTCAAATCAAATAATGTATACAGGGTGATACAAAAAACCGCTGACAGACTTCAAGAGTAGATAATACATGAACAATTAAGATGAATAGTCTTAATATACATGGGGTTGCAAATGCCTCCTTAACGAGATGTAGCGGGTCAAAGTTTCTTTAAAATTAAACATTATCTGCAATAAAAAGCACTTTTTTAAAAATATTGTCTACGCCATTGCTCTCTACGCGTGTAAAGTGATCAATTATCTATCAATTAGTCTCTTACAAAACTTTGATGAAAGCAATAGTTTTTAAGAAAAACACGTTTGTAGAAAATTTGTTAATTCAATCAAAAACTGTTGCTGTAATCAAACTTTTGTAAGAGACCAATTGATAGATAATTGATCACTTTACACAAAAATACTGCCCGTTTGACAAAATTAGCAGTGGATTTGAAAATATTTTTAAAAAAAGGGTTTTTATTGCAGATAATGTTTAATTTTAAAGAAACTTTGACCGCTACATCTTGTTAAGGAGGCATTTGCGACCCCATGTATATTAAGACTATTCATCTTAATTGTTCGCGTATTATCTACTCTTGAAGTCTGTCAGCGATTTTTTGAATCACCCTGTATAAAGAAAAATAAATTTAATGCCTTGATAAATTTATCAATAAAACAAAACTCAGCATGTCAATATTAATCAACTCATAAAGGTATTAAAAATTCAAAAATTATTATCTCAACCATTAAAAATAAATACTAAAATTAACAAAGTGCCTAACTATGAATTAACAAAATGAAGATAAATAGAATTAATACTTATTTGAAATTGACAAAAATTAGACAAAAAATAGCAAAGCTGGATAAAATTGGATAAGGAAATAAGCCTTTGAAGAAAACTGGAAGACAGACAAAGAAATAAAAATAGAAAAGGATGGGATTAGCCTCTGGGAATCCAATATCTGCGACATCTAAATGAGGCTGGTTATAGAAGTCCTCGGTATATTGGGGAATGGGTTAGAAGGGGATTATATACATCGGATTGTTAGAGTAGCAGACCTGATCGTTCAAACATTCTACCTTATTTATGTTATGTTAAAAAAGACTAAATTCTGCTGGCAGAAGACTAAAAACTGCTGACAGAAGACCAAATACTTCTGGAAGAAGACTAAATACTGATGGTAAACATTAACTAGTGTTGGCAAAAAACAAAATACTGTTTGAGAACACTAAATACTGCTGACAGAAGACTAAAAACTGCTGACATAAGACACCGTGTACCAAGGTACACCGTGAATTTTGATATTATCGTTGGAGACAATAAAAGATTACGATCGCGCTTCGGGCTATTTTAGGATTTTCACTCGTTTTGAATCAGTGTTGAAAACTTGTCTATATCATAATATTAATATTTATGTACGTGTAGTAAGTATTTTTTTATAGGATAATTTTTTTGGTTTATCGTCCCATAGATTTTACGATATCCATCGATGTTTATTGTTATCCTTTATGTTTATTAACTGTTAGAAAAGAATAAATTCTGCTGACAGAAGACTAAAAACTGCTGATAGAAGACCAAATACTTCTGGAAGAAGACTAAATACTGCTGGTAAACATTAACTACTGTTGGCAGAAAACTAAATACTGCTTCAAAACACTAAATACTGCTGACAGGAGACGTAAATGATCTCGCTTCGGTCTGTTTTAGGATTTTCACTAATTTTGAGTCAGTGTTGAAAAATTGTCCATATCATAATTTATGTACACGTAGTAAGTATTTTTTTATAGGATAATTTTTTTGATTTATCGTCCCATATATTTTACGATATCCATCGATGTTTATTGGCATGAATAATCGTCGACGCATAACGGTGCAGGTCGCAGTGCAACGCCCCGCATATTACGTCTAATTTATATGTGATTAATTATAACCCTTAATTAGCAGGATGTACGGCGGCTGTGGATTTGTTAATTACCGATTCGTACCACCAGTTGGCGCTGATAAACCGCTCATCATGGAATTTTCCGAACCAAATTTTCAATCCGCATTTTCGGTCTTAATTCGCCGGAGTAATCCAGTTAATTTGAAATTTTGAAACGCGCATTGTTCCCCTAATTAGCAGGTTCCACTTCTAACAACATTGTCGTTTTGAATGGATTCTCTCTCATAGTTGCTAACTATATATAGGGATTCCATATCCGGTTAAACAAAAAAATTCCTGCACACAGCGAAATCGAAAAATAAATCACTACAATTTGTTTTCCATGATAACTAATTGCTTAATTGCACACGAACCCGCATAGTTTCATTTAATTAAAATACTCTTTGCATTGTGTAATTGCTTCTATTTTCAATTATTTCGACCACTTCAAACAAAATTAATTCAATGACAAATACCTATTTCTTTTTTATCATTTTATAGATAAGTGATATAAATTGTATAGGTGAAACTGCATCGTTTAAAACAATAGAAGAGTATTAAAAAAAACTTCCCGGTGAGCTAAAAGCTCAAAACGGCGGCGCGATGAAATGTTCCACACGTAGGGCAAACACAATAAATCTCCGGGTCTTTTTTCGGGGCGCCCTGAAAAACACCAGCATCCCTGGGAGCGCCGCGACGTCACGTTTTCAACATCGCAACGCAGTTCTAACCCTCCCTCCCACCTCCTTGAGCACCGTTAGTCGTTTCCGCTTTGTTACGCCGGAATAAACTGTGTAAACTGGCCTCACGTCGCATCGCCCACGGAATGTTTTCCCCACCGGATCGAACAGGAGTTATTTCGCCGGCCTAAAATTAATTTTTTCCGGTCCAAAAATGCAATACAAGCGCACAAACTCGTAAATACGTGCTCGTTTGTGAAAACGCAACGTAAAAACCGAAAAAAAAACTGAACAGATCGTGATTGCCATCGGTTCACAATGAGCCCAAATTTGCGAGCTTTGTCGATACGCGCTTATCTCGACCGAATATCTGATAGAGAACGCTTTTCCGGGTAGTAGCTGTGTAATTACGCACAATTTCCCTCATAATTGAAACTCGAGAGTCTCTAAATGGAACGATTTCGAAATGGTGTTCTAAATCGATTCTATAAAAACTTATACAAGCAATCGAAGCAATATTTGTTTACAAATTTAATAAGGTTTACAACATATTCTAAAATAAAGAATCCTTGTTGTTATATTACATTTGAAGCGATTCGAAAAAAAAATCGCACGACTTTGGGATTTGCAATTAACTGAAGCATGCGAACAATCATCGGCGTAAATCGGGTTTGATATAACGTGGACCGTTCTTGTCTGTACCGCAAATAATTACCTAGAGACAGGAGAGTGACACCAAAAGCAGTCCGTGCCGTAATTGGAATTGGAAAAACGAAAATGTAACATGTCCGTAGGGCATTTTTCGAAATCCCTATAACCAGGGAACCAAAATCGATAGAAAGAAACGTAACCAATAAAATTTGTTCATAATTAACCTAAAATATATAACCTATAACCAGGTAAAGCTTAACTATAATTCTCTGTGTATGTAGCAAGAAATACCAAAATGTTAAAATGGACAATTTTGGTTGTAAACAGCACAACGAACATATATGCCCTAACGATGACAGTTCTTTACGTATGTAGCAAGAAATACCAAAATATCAAAATGGATAATTTTGGTTATAAACACAGATTGTAACTCAAGAAGCAAAACCGATAGAGAGAAACGTCAATAATAAAAATTGTTCATAACGAATCCAAAACATAAAATTCATAACCAGAAAAAGGCTAACTATGACAGTTCTTTATGTACGTAGCAAGAAATATCAAAATGTCAAAATGAACATTTTGGTTATAAACATAGATTGTATCTCAAGAACAAAAAATGATAGAAAGAAACGTCACTAACAAAAATTGTTCATAATGAATTCAAAATATATAATCCACAACCAGAAAAGGCTAACGATGACAATTCGTTAAGTATGTAGCAAAAAATATGAAAATGTCAAAATGGACAATTGTAGTTATAAACATAGATTGTAACTCAAGAACCAAAACTGATAGAAAGAAACGTCATCAACAAAAATTGTTCATAATGAACCCAAAATATATAATCCATACCCTGGTAAAGCCTAACTATGACAGTTATTTATGTATGTAGCAAGAAATATCAAAATGTCAAAATGGAACATTTTGGTTAAAACATAGATTGTAACTCAAGAAACAAAACCGATAGAAAGAAACGTCACTAACAAAAACTGTTCATAATGAATTCAAAACATAAAATTCATCACCAGATAAAGGCTATCGATGACAGTTTGTTAAGTATCGAGCAAGAAATATCAATGTCAAAATGGACAATTGTAATTATGGTTATAAACATAGATTGTAAATCAAGAACCAAAACCGATAGAAAGAAACGTCATCAACAAAAATTGTTCATAATGAACCCAAAATGTGTAATCCATAACCCGCAAAAACCTAACTATGACAGTTCTTTATGTATGTAGCAAGAAATATCAAAATGTTAAAATGGATAATTGTAGTTATAAGCATAGATTTGTAACTCAAGAACCAAAACCGATAGACAGAAACGTCATCAACAAAAGTTGTTCATAATGAACCCAAAATATATAATCCATAACCTGCAAAAGCCTAACTATGACAGTTCTTTATGTATGTAGCAAGAAATATTAAAATGGACAATTGTAGTTATAAGCATAGTTTGTAACTCAAGAACCAAAATTGATAGATAGAAACGTCATCAACAAAAATTGTTCATAATGAACCCAAAATATATAATCCATACCCAGGTAAAGCCTAACTATGACAGTTATTTATGTATGTAGCAAGACATATCAAAATGTCAAAATAGACAATTGTAGTTATAAACATAGATTGTATCAAGATAGATAAACATAAGGTCTGCTCATAGGGCGAACGAATTGGACCTCGCACGTCATAACCGCGTCATAGCCATTCTAAACAAACCTACACTTACAATAGTAGACAATAGTTGTTGCTAAGCTATAACGCTACGAGAGCCCAAAATGGACAATTGTAGTTATAAACATAGATTGTAACTCAAGAACTGTCAAGAACCAAAAATGATAGAAACGTCACCAACAAAAATTGTTGATAATGCAAATTAGCAATGTTAAGATCACAAGTAATTGGAGCGCTCTTAATTCTGCGGTACCTAGAATGTTGGGGAATAACTTGAGTAGGATTGTATTTATGAGTGCTAACATTTCTATTAAATAATGTTTTGCAATTAAAGGACAAGAAAAATTTAATCAAATTAAAAGATTTTATAATTTATCCATATTTTTTTTTAACATTGACCACATTTGAAATTATGACATGATAATTTAGTTAAACCAGGATGCGTATTAAATGATGAGTTGCAAAATTGCCCTGTTCATTGTGCGGTTTATGTGGCTGCCACTTGTGAGGCAACAACGAGGACTAATTTCAAATTAATTTCGTGCTCGGGGACAAGTTTTAATCATTTACACTATTAGTAGGGGACCCATTCATTCGGTCGCCAATGAATGTTTCAGTTTCCCAGTTCGAGATATTCATTGAACTTGAAATATTCAATACTTGTATAGTTACCTCAATGGTAATCGATAATGGTAAGCTTACAACTTCAAAAGTGAACCATTGCCAACACGTTATAAATATTTTTAGCGTTATCTAGATATATATCTAGACCCTAATAGGGTCGCCCGTTAGTGAAATATAGTAATGCTAGGATTAAGGGAATGCACCGGTAACCCGAATTTATGTGGACTCTCCTCGCCAGTTTTGGTACCACAAGTTAATACCTTTGAAATATGTGTTTACACGACGACATTTCACCACTATCACACCGGTTCGTGACAGGAAAAGGGTTTCCTTTATTATTTGTTTGAAGACGGTGAGTTCATTTTAAAAGGTGACATCTCATCTTATAATAAAAGACCCCCTTTGCGGTTGAAAATTAAAAAGGGCGACGAAAAAAACGCGTATAATAATAGAAGGGCTATCTTGCGTGATTAAAGAACGGCAAAGAAATCAAGTTTTGTAGGAGAAGCACGTAGCTGCATGATTCTCCGGTTCAGCAGAAATTTTGTACCGGCAAAAATCGCTTCGTTGCAGATAGTATAATGAAATAAGGCCTTTGTCGATGTTATAGGGCAAAATGCACCATGGCTTCCGTCAAAGGCCGTATTTGCCTTGCGTTCGCATTTTCTCTTCGCGCTTGAAAGAAAATTTACTTCCACAGGGGAATTGCCTCCCAGTTTCCCCTAAGTTAAATCTCCTTTCTTATAAAAAATGACTTTATTTTCTTAATAATACACAATAATAGCGTTCACATAGTGTTCTTAGATAAAATTGTAAATATAATTACTAATATTAAATTTATCTTAATATAACTAGATTTCGAAAGCGAATCGTTGTCTATTATCGATTTTATGAAATCGATGTGGGTATCAACTCTAGTATACACTCCAGGAGATTGTCCACAAAAAATTCCAAACGATAAAATCCCGATTTGTACCCCATCACACATAAGTGGCCCCCCAGCATCTTCTCTACAAAAATCAGATGTGCCGTTAGTCAACTCGTAAGCGCATATTGTCCATTGATCGATGTTCGGACACCTCCTATTTTCAATGACACTAACATTTCCACACCTATAATTCGAATGATTTTCTTTGTCCTTTTTAGTTTTTGAACGAAACTTTAACGACAAAGTATCGAAACCTAATATTAAGCAATTTTTAATTTGATTTTCTTTAACCATTTTCTGCCACATCGTTGGCGTAACCAAATCCACCAATTTCGTTTTTACATCATCCATTCTTTGGCCCAATTGCATAACACAAACGTCGTACCCTTTAAGAGCGTGGTCATATTTCTCGTTGGAATTATGGTACTTGTAATGTTGTCTAATTACATTGGTAATCTTTTTATTTGTTGATACAACAATATCGTCGTTTAGGCAACAATGAGCAGAAGAAAGAACGTAATTCGAGTGGATTAAAGTTCCGGCACAAATTTTATTTTCTCTGTTACAGTAAATTGTTACTAAAAAAGGGTAATCTTCATTTTTGCAATCGAATATTTCTACAATTCGAAAATTTAAACCTTCTCCAAACTTATTTGTATAAATGATGGAAAAAATTAATAAAACTGACATCATTTTGAATGATTTTTGACAATTTTGATTAATTTTGATTTGTTATGATTTGTTTCATTTAAAAAGAAAAAATGAGAATACCGCACGATATCAAACGGGGGGCTCTTTTGACGTTAACTCATTGTCGCGGTTTTAATATTCATGAAAAGAACTCCCGGTTTTTCTCTGACATAAAAGGGTCTCTCGCTCTTCCAATAGCTTTTTCCCCATATTTGTTATGCAAATGACCTGTTTGCTCCCGAACTCGTTTAGGGACGAGAAAACGGTTTTCGATTTTTATTACGCACGTATTGCTGTTCTTTTTCCTGGTTGTGTATTTAAATGCGAAGCCATATCTGGAACGTTTCGTTGACTATAGTCAGAACAAAGTTGTTATCTCAATTAGAATAGAGTGTATGCGTGTCATCGCAATAGTTGTTTAGTATCCTATTAGGTGATATTGTTCCAGAGTTTTTATGTTTACGTTTAATAACATTGTGGCGATTTGGAAAAGGTAAATAGTTGCTTCACATGGAATAGTAGCTATTTTAAATTGAAAACAATACATTTATCAGATATGGTTTCTCATATTCTTTATTGGCATGGATAAATTGTTTTGAGTTGTGCAGATTGACGAGAAATGTAGAAATTTGCGTGATTTGGGGTTGAGATGAGTTTCGTTAGGTTGTATTGGGGTTATGGGACCAATTCTTAAGTCTTCTCCCAATGAACCTCAAATTAGTCAATCTTGCACGGGCTCTTAAATCTCGAGGAGGTATTGATTCTGCTGGCATACTTTCTTATAAGTTAGTAGTTAGTCAAGCTAAAAGAAATGCTACTGACAAATTTATTTTGAATCATAAAAATCAGTCTTCTGCTATTTGGAAAATAATCAATACTAATAAAGCCCCTCAAAGAGTCAACGAAATGGATAGTAATTTAGATGCTGAGCAACTTAATGATTTCTTTTTGAATTTCCTTTGCTGATCCTTTGTCATTATTTAGTGAACATGTCAACCTTTCTCTCAAGTGGAGGTCCAGAACTTCTTCGATCCTTCCTCAAATCTGGAAAAACTGTTGATTTCTTTGGTCTAAATTCAATAATGTTAAAAAAAAGTTAAAAATTGTCTGATTCCAGTGTTCCTGTTTAACCAGTGTCTATCCGCTGGCTACTTTCCTGGCGAATTTGGGATTGCAAATGTCATACCGTTATTAAAAAAAGGTGATATTAATGAGGCTTCGAACTACAGACCAATTAGTATATCACCTGTACTATCAAAAATTGTTGAAAAACTATTAAAAAATCAATTAATCAAATATTTTGAAGATAATAATATTTTTAATAATCAACAATTTGGTTTTAGAAAGAGAAAGTGCACCGCTACAGCTATACAAAGCTTTATTGAGTATGTAGTCGATGGTTTCGAGACTTCAAAATACACCGAAGCAAGATTCTTAGATCTCACAAAAGCTTTTGATTGTGTTTCTCATTCGTGTATAATGTCACCCCTGAGGCATGTAAACTTTTGTCATCCTATCTCACAAATAGAAAAGAATCTGTTAAATTTAACTCTTTGGTATCTAACCCTGGGATTATTGATAGTGGGGTCAATCTTGGGTCCTATCTTATTTTTAATATATATAAATGACTTGCTTTCATTTTTGAATCCTGAAAAATCAATTTTGTATGCAGACGACACAAGTTTGTTAAATAAACATTCATCTAAAGCAAAAGCTACCGAAAATAATAATTTAATGTTCATTTCGGCTAGACATTGGTTTACAAGTAATCAGTTAACGTTGAATAATGATAAAACAGTGTCAATGACCTTTTCATTAAAGCACACAGATCAAAGTTTGGATTCTGATGGTAGTTTCAGATTTCTGGGCGTGCATGTTGACACGCCGCGATTAATAAAAGAATATTTAGTAGACAAAGAAGAGCCATTAGAAATATTGCCAAATTAAACTATACTGAAGATTGCCGCTCTTCTTTTATCAATTTAAAAATTTTGACACTGCCTTCATTATATATCTTTGAATGTTTGAAATTTACAATGTTACTTCATTGCCAACTAAAAAAAAATGGTGATTTTCACAATTACAAAACTAGGAGGAGGGGGGGTGACATCCGACATGATGCATTGAGACTGACCAGGTCTAGGAATGCCTATAATTATTATAGAGTAAAATTTTTTAATAGTCTGCCTGGTAGTTATAGGAATTTAAGATTTAATGTTTTTGTAACTAGGATTGAGGATGTTTTATTGCGTAGAGTATATTACCCTATTGAAGCACAGTCGAATGATTTACAGGCCTTTGAATGTGTTTAGTATAAAAACAGGTTAACTTTTTTCCCTGCCACTACTGACACGGATTATTATGACTGTGTATTTGCTTTTATGTAAATGTTACGTGTAATATTTTATATATTATATTTTATTATATTTTTCGCTTTGCTTGTAAATTTTATATTGACGAATGTATGCCTTCGGGTTATCAGCATAATAAAGATTATTATCATTATTACAATTTTACGTTTATTACTGTTCAAAAACCGATACTTTATTAAGGATGCAAGAACCAAAAATGGCAAAACTTCCGATTCATCAAATTTGTGTTACTATAGAATGTCGAGCAAATGGGATATTTTCTATAGTTCGTCGGGGAAAGTTGCTAATTCTAGGTCTATTGTTAGTTCTAGTTTCATTTGTTATTCAGCGCCAGACTGTTATCAAGAGTATCTAGTCTTCTGGAAGCAGTTTCTATTCTTTTTATAGCAGTATCTAATCTTTTGCCTCCAATTCTAGGCTTCTGGTGGCGATATCTAGTTTTCTAGAAACAATATCAAGACTATATCAGCAGCATCTGATGTGCTGTAACAAATTTAGTCTTCTGCCAGCAATAACAAGTCTTGCCGCGTCAATATTTCAAAAACCTTTTTTTTGAAAATCATTCTTGTAACGAATGTGGTATATTATTTATACAGGGTGTTTCACTTAAAACTCCCAGCCCAAGTATCTCTGGAATGGGTTGAGATATTGTAGTTTTGTAAGAAGTTGTCGCTACAGTTCGTAAATGACTTCAGTTCTTAAGAATTGTTATTTTTTAATTTGCAAGAATAAAGATGGCGCTGCAGTCAAAAGAAACTCTGCCTTCAACATAAAGTTTTTATTAGCTTTTAAAACTGTGCTACTTTCGTTATCAACGTTGATTCGAAAAACTTAGTAGTTTCGAAGATATTTAGTATTAATACTGAGACTATTAAGAAAAGTTAAATATAATTTTAATTTATGGTGAATGTCAAAACCTTACCAATTTTGGAAATTTTATGGAACAGAAACGACAGAGAGAAAAACGAGTTCGAGATGATGGAAGCTGCAATGGTTTTGCAAATAATAAATGACAACTCGCATAAATCATTGCGGCAACTAAGAGGACACGAAAATTTCTGCTACATGTCATCGAATTTAAAAAACAAATAAATTTTTGCCGTGTAAGTGCAATTTTGTTCAACATTCACAACCAGGCGACGATATCCGTTGACTTCAGTTCTTGGCTGAATTTTCAGTTTTGGCATAAAGAGACAACTTTCTCAATAACATTATGTCGTGCAACGAAAGTCGTTTCCATAATAATGGAATAGTATGCAAGCAGAACAATCGATATTGGTCTCAAGACAATCTTAGTTTTTACAAACAAGTAGTCAAACAACCTTATAAACAACAAGTCATCGTGACCTCAACTGCTGACCTAAAGTTCTGAACTGCTGAATATTATGTTGGACGCATTAAAAAGACAGACATGGTTTTAACAAGATGGTGCACCTCCACATAACGCACAGATAGTGACTCAGTACTTGTACCACAGATATCCAGGACGATGGATTGGTACAAATAGTCTTGTAAGAGAATGTAATGTTGAATTGGTAAGACGATTCGAATTGTGCGTGCATGAAAATGGAAGTAATTTTGCAGTTATTATAAGTTCTTTTTTGTTGTTCCAATTATTATTATGCTGAAAAATTTATTTGGCAACCTAAAATGTAATTCTGTTCTTTGTTTTGTTAATTAGTTTTGTTAATCCTCCGCATACGAAGTGAATTAATCTCACATTTCATAGTATGTGAGGTATGATATACCGCGGAAATAATATACTATTTCTATAAAATTTTACATAGAACACGATATCGCGTGTTTTTTTTTGTTTTTCAATTTTTTCAGTTTTAAAACTTGTGACCTTAATTCGTAATTTTATTTCGATTCTTTTCTTTTTTTTAATGTTGAATATCTTCGAATCTACTCAGTTTTGAAATAAATGTTCAAAGCAATGTTAACAAGGAAACAATGTTAATAAGGAAAGTAACACAGTTTTTGATGCTCTATCAAAGTGTGTCAATCAGTTTCGTTTGAATGCAGCGCCTTCTTTATTTCTGTAGAATGAAAAATAATAATACTTAAGTATTGAAGTCATATACGTAGTTTAACAATAACTTCTTACAAAAAGATATCTCAATCCATTCCAAAGCCTGAGACTTTTAAGTGAAACAGCCTATATATTATATTACTTATATTTTGTATACAAGATTGTAATTATGAAATTGCCCGAATAAAGTGAAGTCTTTTGCCTGTAATCTTAGGCTTTTAGTGTCGATACCTAAACACACTATCAAGACTATATCAGCAGTGTCTGATGTTTTGTAACAGATTTATTCTGTCAGTAATGACAAGTTTTCCCGCGAAAATATTTAGTCTTATGAACGTACTATCTAGTCTTTCATCGGTACTATTAACTATTTTGCAAGCAGCATCTATTTTTGTCAACTGTAACTGGTCTTTTGCAACAGTATTTAGTTTTCTAATAGCACTATTTAGTTTCCTGTTAGCAATA